AAACTAGTTAAAATGCTTGTTACAGTTTTCTTTTGCTGACAAGTTTATAAACAATTTGGGCCAAATTATCAGCCCTCCTCTAAGCTGACAACCTGACAAATATTCTTCCAATTACTAATTTTAGAGAAAACTCCATGAACTAAAGCCTTCCCTGAATTTTTCCTGAATGGAGAGAGGGAGGAAATCTCACACAGGAGCAGCCCCACTGCAGGGTGCATTGGGAAGGATGGTCCCCCATGCCTCCCCTGCAGCCCCAGCAAAGGGAAGCATCCCCCTGGAAGCCAACGTGCTCCCATCACTGGGATGTCTGGCATCAGTGTGGAGGAGGAAGCACATGCAGCTGTGGGGTCCAGGCAGAGCTGGGCCTAAGATCAGCAGCCTTAAGCCACCAGTTCATTCTTTGTTATTGGTTCCTTGTTTGCTTATGGGTTCTTATAAAAGTCAAAAATAACAACACAGCTTTTCATGCTGGAGCACTGCTAACCACACCTCAGCTCCTACTTGACCACTGATTCCCTGGATGCTGGGGAGGAAGACGTGAAGGACAGACTGCACACACTAGTAAAACGTTAAGAATATAATGAATTACTTTTCTGCTTTGCTGAATACAGAATGCTTTAATTACAGGTTTAAAAATTCCATACCGGCTTGTAAATATGTGAAAAGTGCAACAAGCTCTTTTACAGATCTGCTATATTTTTTTTTCAGCAACAACACGTGCTTTGAACTCTGCTGGAGGGTTTTCTAATATTAATGGGCAAGATGATGACCTGAATAATTTGTCCTTTCTGGCACCAGAACAGGGAACATCTTACATCTAGGGATTTAGATACATCTGTCTTGGGAAACATTAAAAATTGGGTTTCTTGATTCAGGACAAGCTCTGTCACTACTTTCAGAAGGGCTATCATGTTCAGATAAGGCACCAGGAAGGTCTGGATCTTCTCCAGTCTTCTGTTGAGAGAATAAGAATAAAGACATCACCCTCAGCTGACAAATGTAACGGGGTACAGATTGCTATCAGTGTAAGAGGCAGCTCCTCTGACAGCTAGAGGACTAGATCAATCTCAAGACATGTAAGATTTCTGATTAAAAGAAATACTTAGGTTGCACTTTTCAAGAGAACAGTGACATGAGAAATCACATTGCTGCATAAATAATTGGGACAATAGGTTAGGTATCAAGGTCAAGTTCACTGTGAACTCCAAAAGGCAGCTGTATCCCACAGGGCTCCAAAGAGCTTGGACTGGGACAAGGAGGAAATCACCCCTTTATACAATCAGTCTTCATCAGAGGATTGCATCAGGAGTTCCTTCCTCAGCTGAACTTTCTGGAAAGTTTTTAAATGTTCAAGCGATAAGATGGAGAAACCCCGGGTCCTTTCAGAAAGACATGGAGTGATCAAAATAAGAAAGCTCACCTGGTCTACAAGTTTTAGCTGCAAAAATTTCTAAAAGGGTCCAGGGAAAGGAGGTGAAAAAAGCTCTGAAAAACAAGAGCATGACTCTTCAACAATTCATTAGAAGCTTACTTATGCCTAGAAGAGTTTAGGGAGAATTGGGATGTCATTATTGAGCACACAAATAGCGAATGTCTTTCTGAACCACCCGCTTGTCTCCATGGCAGAAGAGTGACTTGCTGTTTGATCCCGCACTCAATTCCTGCCTGCCATTTTAGCATCTCTGCCGGCACGAAATGGAAAATATCTCCTAATGTCTGTGCTGGTTTTTGTGACTTCTTCCAGAGCCACCCCCAGTCATTCAGTTCTGGTAACCCATTACTCTAGCCAGGGACAAGGAAGAGAAAATGGGAGCTCTTTAACCCTTTGTGTGAAGGGTGATGCAGCACGTCCTTCCTGTGCAGAAACTGGGGGACAAGGAAATTCCAGTGTGAGACATTCCTACACAGCAACAGCAGATTGCTCAAGTACTCCAAATTTGGCAAGTGGAAGGCTCTGAAATGCACTGGGAAATTTCCTGGAATGCAAAATGCAAACAAATCCACTACAGAACCTATATCCAGAATGGCCAATTGTTGTGTTACTAATGAAAGAGGAAGAAGGAAAACAGAGTAAGAGTAATACGAGACTGAGGTTTCCATTGGTGTCTCTTATCTCAGGAATCAGTCTCTCAACTGACCACATAAGAGAAAATCCAAAAATTTCAATTTAGCGACTTGCCCAGCAGCAAAATCAAAGGCAGGTGGTGGATATACTAGACAATGCTGGTCAAACCATTTCTTTCTACATAGCACTCAATAAACAGAGTTGCTGCTATTGAGTTCTAACCTCTTGTCATGCAGCAACATTGAGTCAACAATCCGCTCTCATGGCTTAATGCTTTTGATGTTTACTTTGTTCTTTGTATAGTTCAAAAGAAAGCACTAATGCAGCAGTCCTCTTACCAAATACAATCTTAATCCCAGAATCCCGAGCCTTTTGCTGTTGGCCAGTTAAGTCTGTTAAGACGAAAGGATTTGATCAAGCTTTACATAACAACACAGAAGTTAAATCCAGCAAAGAGAGTTCTTTTTATCTGTACTGCTCAGACAGCTAAGAGGGGAAAAAAAAGAGAGGGAAGGGAAAAAAAAAGGTAATGAACTTGGCTATGTAAAACAAAATAAGGAATTCAATTATTTCTCTTATTGCCACTTTGTCTTTTCAGTGAGAGTCTTCTAAAGAACTCAGATTTATTCTCCAATAAAGTTCCTCAGAGAGAAGGCTCTAAAATTCCCCTAAACCAGAACTGTGGCAATTGCTGAACGTTTTTCTTGCAAATCTGAGAAATGTTTCTTTTTCATCCCTACCACGTATTCACCAAGACAGAACACCGTTCACTGATGCATGGTATTTGGTAGAGCATGGTATTTGCCATTTGTCCTCTCTGAGCTTAGTCTGACCAACCATTTTCTGGGTTACAGATCCCGGTCTCTGAAGCTGCTGGTGATTTTGATGTTATCTTATGACACATGAATCACAGCACATGCGTTATACCAGTACACATGTGAAGATCATAAGGCAGCAAAACAGAGGCAGAACAACTATTTTAGATGGAAAGTTCCATCTATGTTCTAGGATATTAATTGCATTTTCCCACAGAAACGTTTCTATGCGGAGAAGAGGACGACAGTTGCCATCTTGCACCTAAGAATTCAGGCTGTGCCCTATCAAAGATCTCAAATCATGTTTCAGCTTCACTTTATCTAATATCACAATTTTGTGCTAGTACTAGCACAAACACTGAAGTATGATGCAAGTAAAAAGTTACACAAAAAGGATGCTTTAACACAATGATTGTTGTATTGTCTGGTAATTATAAGATTTTCAGTATCTGAATGAAATAGGAAGTGGTTAACTCTGTCCCAGCATGGAAAACACAGCCTGGAGATCTGAGAGCAGAAGGGATGAGGAGCAAGCTTTGACAACCTGCATCCATATGCCTGAGCATGGGGAGGGAACAGTCATCTTCCTCCCAGCTGGAAAGATGCCACAGAACAGCTCTTCCCCAGTGACAGCACACAAAGGATGGACCACTGCTGGTACCTAAATCTAGTCTTCACTACTCAGCTACTTCATAACAAACGAGACTCATCAGAAGCAATAATGTGAAATTGCTGAAAGACTGAAATTACAGTTACCTAAAAGGCTTTACGCTCTAATAAAAAAAAATCTTGCTGCTGACTAGTTTGAAAATATTATATATTGAATATTGTGTTTGCTAAGCAAGATAATGCTACACAACAAAGAAAGAAATAATTAGAGGCAAGAAAAGATGGAATGAGACAAAGAAAATGAAATTATTCACCTTGCTGACACTTAATATCCTGTCTGAAGCATTTTCTCCTATAATTCTAAAATTAAAATCTTACCCTATGTCCTACTAAGGGGATTGGAAAACTGTGGTGAAGTTAAATACAAAACCACTCAACAAACACTGACTCCATAATGGCAAGTATTTGTGATTAACAGTAGTTTAAAAGCACCAGCCAAAATTGAGTTCCTATGTTATGGCACATACAAGACATGAAGTCTTTGTAAACTACAGAGATGAGAGAAACTTGGAATCCAAGAATCACAGTATATTAACACATTGCACAGGTAACTGGAAAGCAGACATTCTTGAGAATCTTTCACATTCTGTTTATACAAAAGCTTCTAATACCAGAAACAAATGATTGGATTATGAAAGTACAGAAATTTCCAGATTAAGCTTGACATGGGTTCACTGCTCTGAATAAACTGAGCATATTGTTTCCACTAGTGTATAATATAAATCCAGCACACAGCCCATGCAACCCCTCGTTATACTAGAGTTTATGAAGTCTCACTGCCTTGAAAGAAATGAGAAATAAATTCATCTCCTCCATTCATGAACCCCAACTTGTCCCTGAAGCTCAAGGTACCTTAGATGTGTTCTTTGGCAGAATATAGCAGATAATGGTACCCATACTCACAGGTACCAAAGGTCCTTCCCACCACAATGATTCCATCTCAACTGCCTGATTGCAGAGGAGGAGATGAGATGGAAAGAGAAACTGTCTGAGGCAATAAGGATCCCATTCATACTGAAGAAAAATGTGTTGATTAAGTCTCTAGCCCTTATTAGAGATTAACATGGGAGTTTCTAAGGCTGCTTTGTGTAACCCAGAATGGATTGCAGTGTCCCACACGACCCAGTGCTAACAGTTCCACCCATTTGCCAGCTCTGCCAGGGGCAGTGACAATCACCACTCCTACCAATGTCAGGAGAAGCACCTGGAGAAAATGGTGAGACCTTGAGTTAAAACACTTGGTCCCTGTGATTCAGCTGGGTGACTCTTTCCAATACAAGTAGTAGCAGATACAGAAATAAAGCCCTATTTCCATCTTAGTTTTTTCAGGCAAATGACACATCAGTAGACCAAGAACTGCACTCTAAATATATGCATTATCACACTAATTTATTCACTAACTTACTCCAATACCCCTTTATATTAACCAAAAAACTTTGTTCTTTAAATACCTTCTAGATGAAAGTGTTCATCACCAATAGTGTCTCTGTAGCCTTCCCCAGATAAATCCTGTTTAAAACAAAACAAAACAAATTAACTACAAATATACTACATATAAAGTGTTGAGGTGTTAATAATATGTATTTATTATTGCCAGAACTAATTTATAACATGAATGAGAACACAGAAACTGTTTTCCAGGAAAGGAGTCAATCAACGTCTTAGTGGTAGTCAATGCATTTGATGCTATTTTACAATGCTCTGGATATATTCTGGACAAAAATTTAGTGAAGATGAATTGACTACGTAGGGTAAAGAAAAAAAATCACATTTAAATAATCTTATAAAGTAATATTTTGCATTTCAATGTTCTTTCAATCAAGCAAGATTAAAAAACTCCAAATGGAAATGATAAAGGAGAAATAAGCCTTCACTACCCACAAAGGAATGTTATCACTTGGTTCCACCAACAAACAGAAAACTTGCATATGCCAGAGGTCACCCAAGAAAAGCAGATACCAGATTCTGACAAGCTGCCTGAGCCTTCAGTTCTGAAATTAATGAAATTCTGTCAGCCCCAGAATGTCTAGAACAATACAGATGCAGGTGCCATAGATAATGCAGATGAACTTATCAGAGATGCAAAAACCATTTCTCCAGTAGTGCTGAAGCAGTTGTAAAGGGCATCAGTGGGATTTGGAGCTAATCCCAGTTACAAAGACTCTGGAGAGCATTCTTACTCTCTTATGAACAAACCCTTCCAGCTCCATCACCCCACCCCAGCCAGGCCAAAAGCAATGGAGCTATCCTCATGTCCTGACTGCTCTCAGCCAAGCTTGGGCAGCACCACAGTGCCACTGACCTTACACTGGAGTCCAGCTCCCTGGATGCTCCCCAAACACTCTCTGCCTCTGATAAAGTTATGGTGACAAAGAAGGATATGGGCCTAAAAAACTGGTGTGCTGCACTCACAGCCATTCCAGCTGCATCTGCAAAAACAGACCTGCAGCACAGAGCCAGAATTCACAGCATCAACCTGTGGGCTGGAAGCTGACCTTGGAGAGCTTTTAGTATAAGATAAGGATAAGGGAGTAACCTGTGAAAATTCATGTCTGGTTGTATTCATTAGCTTTATTGTTAAGGAATTTGATCATGATAAAGGCAGTTCACATCTTTTTCTTTAAAAAGCTGGCAGAGGTTCTTCAAATTCCACATGCCTAAATGTTATTCTTTGAGATTAGTTATAACAAAGTAACTAAGCCACAAAAGTATATCTTAGGAATTCTTCGGTATCAATTTCTGCAACAGCATGTTAAAAATTAGATTTCACTAACAATACTGGATACCTAGCCCAGAAACCCTGAAAATACTGCCTCTTCCCAATCACATCCCCTGCAGTAAAGTTAGACTCTGCAGGACAAATGTCTCTGAGAAATGCTGGCAAACTGGCCTGGAATGCTGGGATACACCACAGCACAATGCTGCTATAAAAGCTGACATTCTGGATTTGTCTTTCCAGGTAGAAAATCACAAAAAACTACTTTTGTTCCAGTAAAAAAACTCTCTTATTCTGGGCACGTGCTGACTAATATCAATCATTACCTTAAAAATTATGGAAGGAGCAAACAGAGAATGAAAAGAAGACAGAAAATTTTGGAATGATGCAGCATATCACTGCAAGGTGATGTCTTTTGGAATCATGACCATCTGGAAGTTAGTTACTTTTGTTTGATCAAACTCCCCCATGTCACAATTTTCCATGAAGCTGTGAGAGCACACCTCTGCCTGCTCCCATAGATAATGATATATAGAAGTGACTCTGCTCTCCCACAAATATTGAATAACTGTTTCATTTGGGGTTTTCATGTGTTGGAATTCCCACTCTCCTTGGAAAAATAAATATTTTCTGTTAACCTGATCAGCAAATATGCAATGGGTAGGTACTTGTGGTGTATCTCTGGGAATACTATCTACATGGTAGCATTCACCTCCTAAAATTTTAGCTATGCAAGCATTCCACCTGGCTATCAAACATTGCCTGTTAAAATTATGTCATTAATCTCATGCTCTACAAAACTCACAAGTTATTAATTGTTGTGATTTTTCATATGTCAAAAGATATCACTTAAAAATAAGCATACATTTGTGGATGAAAAATGGACTATCAGGTAACTCAAAGGAAAACAGTGGAAGACAGGGAGTGTAAAACAGCAGAGTGAAGCATTAATATTCATTACACTAGCTTCCTTATTTCCTCACTTCTAATCATTACATGGGTCTTAAGCAAATATGTTTTATATTCCAGTCTAGTTTCACTCCTTCTCTAGCTCCTAGTTATTTAAGTTAAAATAGTAACTTAATGTAAGCAAATTTCCAGTAAGTGTTTCTGCCTTAAACCAAATTATTATAAATTAACACATTCTAAAAAGTGTTTTTCATGCTGTTGAACCATAATATAACTGTTAGCACATAAATTGACAATCCATCCTGAAACTGATGAGAGTATCGTTTGAACATTTAGTGACACATTTAAGCAGACTTCCTCAGCTCCCATTCAAAGGTATTCCTCTGTGGAAGATTCTGACATGTATTATCTTTGATAGACAGACATGTAGCTGAGAAGGGTGTGGGCAACTCTTAAGATTTTACAGGGGAAAAGATGCAGGAGAAAAAATATATACTCTCTCATTCATCTTATCATCATTAACTTTTCTGTCAAAAAAACTGCAAGAGATTTACCTGAATATTTTTAGCACCGCGGAGATAGATGTTGCAACCTGGATAAACACCAGAATCCCTGAGAAAAGGTTTCTGGGCAGTGTATGTGAAGTCACACAGCAAAAAAGTGTAAGAGCTGAGCAAGCATCAGAGAAAACAATTCTGACTGCAGCTCATCCTGCATAATACTCTCCCAGTAACCCACACAAATAACCTCAGAGTGGATAACACAGTTATCTACCCCCAGCAACCCAAATTCAAGTGGACTAGAATAAAACAAAAGGGTCAATGGGTAAAACAGAACTCAAGCTCAAGAAATTCTAGTGGGAAGCAAACCCTACAGCCAGGTAGGAATATCTGACACTGGGGGACGAGTGTGTTCAAGCACAAAGAGGACACAGGCTCAAGGGGATGGAAAAGCCAGGAACAGCTCTGCATTCAGCCAGGCTCTGCCACGGGGCCCTCAGCAGCCGCCACGGCAGGCCCAGTGCCCAAGAGCAGCAACAACATTTGGGTCATAGGCAGCTGTATATCACTGTCCTGACACGATGCTTTAAATCACAGCACTGCCTTTTCAGACTGCAGCACTGAGTCATGAAACAACCAAAACCAGATGTACCCTGTGAAACACTATATAAATGAGGTCAGCGAGCACTTGAAAGAATAAAGAAAAGAAACATTTACACAGAAGGATTATTCCAGCATGCCATTGCTATGGGCTGCTGAACAGGAACCCACCTAGAGTAAGTGTCTCTACCTCACCAGGAGTTTCCCAGATAAATAACTGGTCTCCATTAGCTACCAACACAACTCACAGTGAATGATTAAGATTCAGGCTCAAACATGTGCTTCAAAACCCAGAACAGCTGCCTGGCTAGAGAGGACCTCGTGCCCCATATATCCCACTCTGATAGGTGCCACTCTACTCTGCTCAGATTTAAGAGGGCGGGGGTGGAGAAAAGAGTTAATTAGTGCAAGTCCCTCAGAAACATTGCTGAGTATATACAAACATGAGGAGAAAAACAACCTTTAAAAGCTCCTACACGCCAGGGCTTCAACTGAGTTGGGTACAGAAGTTCAGCAATCGTCACTCGCTTCCCACCTTCCCTGTGCAATCACACATCAATGAATTCTAATTCAAGGGAAATTTGAATTTTTCTAACCTCAATTTCAGCCCTAACTGCCCTGGGCAGTCTTCTTCCTGATCCAAGTCTCTGGAGACAAAGGCCAGGCACTCACTCTGGGGCTTCCAGCTAATGACTTCCTTCTCGTGACATCTGAAAATGCTGCAATCCAAATACTCTCCATTTGTTCTGCCTACATCACTTTGCTGGCTCTTTATGCTTCTGCCTTGAGGTTAAGCCCCTTGACTTCACTTTCCAGGCTCTGCACAGGTGTATTTGTGGTCACATCCTCTAGTCCTGCCTCCTAGTCCCTACATCCACCAGTTGCTCCAGCCTTGCTCTGCAGTATTACCCTCTCCCTGTCCTGGCTCTGCCTTTCCACGTCACCCCCACAATACCAGCACATTTGTGGCACACAAGAGCCAAAGCTCCTGACTGCAGACAGAGTGTGTATTTCAGCAGCCTGAGCCTGACCAAACACAGTGCTCAATAGTTTTGCTCCAGTGTTAAGTACAGACAGATATATCCATACATGTATTAGATATTTCAAAGGATAACCTTTGATTTAAGTGGGTTATCATGATAACAAGCACATTTTGAAAGCCTGGGCCCCCCTACTCCTTCTATTACATCTCAAGTCAATATTGTGTTAATTAACATTTTTCTAAAATGTGCTCTTCTCAAGTAGAAACAAGTTGCTTTACCTCTCTCCTTCAAACACCTCATTAAAATACTTTGATTTAGCCTTAAGATACTGAATTTTCCACATTTTTGGGAGAAAATATGCACATATTTCCTGTTTAATGAAGTTTTTGTCAAGGAATCATATATACTTTTTTTTTTTTGCATAACACATGCAGAATGACAAGTCATCAACCAAAAACCTTTCCTCCCTATTTTTAACCATCTGACTGAAACATGGGGTTTTCTCTCTTTATTCTCATATTGATGCAATAAAGTTTTGGAATGAGAAAAGTTGAAGAAATGCATTTCACAACAGGACTGCAAGGGACAAGATATGTGGTAATTCTAATGTCTTGTAGATTTTAAATGATTTTATAGTTATTGCCAACAAGAATGCTGTGTCACCTATGCACAAACTTCATTTCTTGATGTAGAAAAAATAATCCCAAGAAATAGAGGCTCAAGAGAATGAGAATGCCCTTCGGCCTTTCACCGAAACCACTGAGGGCCTGTCAGGTGCCAAGTGGCCATTCTGAATGTTTC